TCTTCCATAGATCTTCAATCCTTAAGATTCTCTCTCCATTTACTTCAAAAACTTTTCAAAAATCGACCCCACATGTACCAAAATCGCCATAGAAGAGAGAAAATGGAGTGGGAGGAGAAATAGGAAGAAACCCTAGAAAAATGGGTTAAAAACCGATCTGAATGTTTGGGAAGACTTTTGGGGCTACTTAGGTCACCATGCCAAAAGTTGGTTGTTCCATGCCACAATCACCTGGCTGGCCACTAGGTCCCCAAGCGTTTCCTGACCATTTTCCGACCGTTTTTCGAAGTTTATTTTAATAGTAACGACTGAATTACGGGTGTTACGAGGAACGTCATAGTCGGCACCTATCCTTGACCCCTTGCTTACCATTCGGATGATGAAGAAGTATGTCTTGAGAGTTCTTATCTCGGGAACCGCCTAATAGTTGTTACCAATCGACTAAACGAAATGGACGATTTGTTATCTTTTGGTCACATTTAAATGGAGATCTAACAAAAGAATCGAGTGAGAAAAATTCAAAATCAACTAAGTTGAATTCCAAATTCTTGGGGAATATTGTTTGGGTAAAAATCTCATATCTTACAACCGATGCTAGAAGGCAAAAAATTCTTTAGGTCGACAGAAGCTAAACCATGACCAAAGATCTTATTTTCATCGAGACATTAATGATCAGTGCTATGAAATACATTGATTAAAGATTTGTCTAGATATAAGTAACTATCTAAATTAAAAAAGCATTAAAGATGTAATAATAACAAATATCTCTTACTAAAAGCCCAATCTTGCCAACATCCAAGAATCATGTGAAGATATTAATATCCGCATAACTGATAGCTGAAAATCCGCTCAAGACATTTAAGTATATTAAAAACGGACAATTCATCTATTCAAGCTTCATATCATTCCAGGATTGTTTTCCAGATACAATTTCCTTGTCTAGTATTCTTTGAATTCATTATTGTAATTCCTACAATAATATTTAATTTCTACGACAAGTTTGTACTCATGATTTTCTTATAAAAGAAAGACATCCCTGATGGGTGTCATTGGTCACTGGTCACACGGTGTGTCTTACGGCCCCCCAAGCACTATATTTAGGGGGCGTTTGGTTCGTCGAAATCCGACGGAATCTGATGAAATTGGAATGATCAATTCCATTGACCAAAATCCATTCCAATGTTTGGTTACCTATGAAATGGAATTGAATTCCAAGGATTCCCAAATTTGAGGAATTCACTATTCCTTACCAAATCTGATGGAATTGAATTCCATTCCATCCAAAAGTATTTAAATGACACAAACACCTTTATGCTCCTATTAAACCCTAACCGCTGCTTATTGTTTGGATGCTATGTGTAAACACTTGTTGGTAACAATATTTATATATGGGTATTTGATGTGTCAACTTGTATGAATGGTTTGGTTTTTGGTTAATTGATTATTTTTTTCACGTTTTATGTTTACATATATTTCAAAAAATGGTAAAGATTTTTTTTCCTCATTAAATGTTAATTTAATATTTTGTATTTGAAAAAATTAAAGAAAAAAAATCGAAGTAAGGGTATTTTTGTCTTTTTCATCATTCCATTCCAAATTTGTTGTAAACCAAACCATCATATTCCAATTCATTAGACAGATTAAATTTCATTCTTGCCAACCAAACACTTGGTCAAACCTGATAATATTTCATTCCAATTCCAATTCTTTTGATAGATTTCATTTCTTCAGAAATCATTTCAATTCTTAGATTTATTAAATTTGTTGTTTTTTTGTGTTTTAGGATTTTACGTGTTTGTTTTACTTTGTATTTTTCTTGAATTATAACTTTAATTAATTTGTATTTTTCTTGAATTATAACTTTAATAATACAAACGTTCCAGCTTCAAGTCATAATTGTGTATTTTTGACCAAAAAGGTCATCATAGAACATAAAATATACATAATAAATAGATTATGCCTTTATCTATAAATATTATGACAAAAGATGTTCAAACGTACATAGAATCATGGTATGATTAGTTGTTGGGCAATACACTAACACAATAATTGTTGCGAAAACAAATAATAGATCAACAAATGATGAATTGTAATTGTCTAAATAGTTTTACCATTGACAAATTTCAACCACCCAAATCACTCGAGCAATGTTTTCTACTCGAGCAATGTTTAGGTCATTCCACAATCAAATACATGATAAACATTTCATTTTCAATATAAAAAATCTAAAATATAATTAGGATAATCATTGAGTTCTAACAGAATACTTAATTATTATCTTTATAAAATATTATATTATTAAACCAAAAATAAGATATTTCATTATTAAACTTAAATTAAATTATAAAAAAAATAATCTATACTATATTATAAAGCATTTGACAATAACTCTTAAAAACTACTTTTTATGCATAAAGTACTGTTTATTAATGCATATTACTTAAAACTTAAGATTACAAGTAGATTGTGCATAAGTACAACTTATTAAAGCTCCATATCTGAATTCGTGTAACTAATTGCAGATAAACATAATCAAATACAAGATAAACATCTTATTTTAAATATAAAAA